CCTTAGTAACTAATGATGCTGAGTATTTTTCTCATGTGCTTATTTGCCATACATATATTTTCTGAATGAAAGTGTCTTTACAAACATTTTGCTCCATTTAATTGGGCTATTAACCTTCTCATTACTGAGTTATAAGGGAGGTTTTTTGGTGGGTTTTTTTTTTTTATGTTCTGGATACAAGTATTAGATATGTGGTTTTCATGTAATATCCCTGAATCTGTGGCTTCTTTTTCACTTTCCTGGTAGATTTATATGGGGGGGGGGAGTAAAATTACTGGCAAAGAGATCAGCAAGATAAGCGGGAATGAACTTTGTATGCACATGAGACAGCAGAAACCAGCCTGTACATACTAGCAAGGTCAATGATCATGGAGTTAAAATTGTTAAATATGGTAGAGTCAGGATAGGGACAGCATTTCAAGGCAAGCAGAGGAATTTAGAATAGATCTAGTAAGCAATAGGGAGCCATGAAGCATTCTTGAACATAGGAATGGCATTGTAGCAATGGAAACTCTACCTGGGGTGGCACAAGAAGGACAAGGGAGAAGAAAAGACAAGAGGCAGGGAGGCCAGCTAAAAAAAGTTGTATGGCAATCCAGGAGTATAAGTGTGAGACTGTGCACTATGATTTTGGCAAGTGAGAAGTGAGGGGATTTAGTGAATGGTGTGGTTCTTTTTCTCTTTTTCTTTTTTTAAGATTCTATTCATTTATTCATGAGACACACAGAAAGAGGCAGAGACATAGGCAGAGGGAGAAGCAGGCTCCCTTTGGGGAGCCCGATGCAGGATCACGACCTGAGCCACAGGCAAATGCTCAACCACTGAGCCACTGAGGCACCCCTGGTGTGGTACTTTAAAGTTAGAAAAGGGAAAGTATCTTGACAAATTGAATATGAGGGATAGAAATAAAGAAGAGGCAATAATTATAGAAAATGAATAGATAGAAGGGATTTAAGAGATCATTTAGTTCAACTCCTCACTTCACTGTGGAGAAACTAAGGCCTAGAGAGGAGTAGTGATTTTACCAAGGTCACATAACAAGTTCACAAGAGTCAGAAGCATGCAGATCACTGGGAGCCAACTTTACTGCCACCATGACGTTAATCTAATCTCAGAACTCTGAGGTCTGAAGTCTGTAATCTGGAAACATCTCACTCTTAGAAACTTGCTAGAAAAAAAAAAGAAAGAGAGAAACTTGCTAGACGTGAGCATTTGACCCATTTGAGCAATAGATGCATTTCTCCTCTCTCAGTCTCTCCTAACTTCCACCCCAACTTTAAAAAGGAAACATTAAGAAGTGTTTCCCTGCATGCTTTTTTCTCCACCTACATATTTTTTCCTTCTTTGACTTGACATTCATATCCACCAGTAGAGTTTATGATGTAAACCTACACTGTCCTCGTTAGAATAAATGTCAAATTACAGCTATAGGTATATCTACCTATATGGATGTATCTCTGATCATAATGTAGAGGGAGGGGAAAAAGCAAGCTGCACAATGATATCATTTTGTTTAAGTATCAATCTTCAGAAAAAATTCTTTGCAATGATTATGAGTACACAAACACGTAATAGAAGCACAAACCCACTGAATTCATGAAAGTGATTAACTCTGGGGAGGAAACGAGGGAGGGAAATGAGACTGGGAGAGAACTACCAGGGGACCAGGGGACCCTACTTGCATCTACAATGTTTTGTTTTTTTTAAGAGAATGAAATTAAGGTATTCTGAAGCAAACATGGTATAATGTAGAAATGTACTAGAGCTAGATGGTAGTTTTATTGTTCTGAAATTCTCTGTTATCAGTAAGTTCAAAATGCCTCACAAGCTTTTTAAAGTTCAAATATGAGGCATCATTCAGTACTACCAGCATTCTTCCTCAATTTCCTATTATTATACTCATGATTCACATTTACCAAAAATGTTGAAAGTTAAAAACACCAGCAATCAATATAGGCAAATGTTCCCTCTCACATCCCCTGTTTAAGAGTGTAAGTCTGCCAAACTTCTTCAAGCAAGTGTTAAAGATAAGGGGACAGTACTAGAAGCTTTTACGTCAATAAACTTTGACATGACTTACTCTGTGATCCTCAGTGAGGAACTATAATTTATTAAACAGCGACAAGAATCTCCAAGGGTCCAGGAAGTCAGACATGACAGCAGTTGACCAAAACCAGCACCTCTCACCATGTGCAATGGGGAGATTTATGTGAGCAAATGAAAAACATTACAGGGAACAGATGCTGCAGGCAGAGCCCATGTGTGAGAATGCAGGTCACTTGAGTGGCCAGAGCCAACATTCATCATTGTGTGACATGGTGGCAAACCAGCCAGGCATCTGTCCAGAGCTCGGTGCTACCAAGAGCCTTCTCCTTTCCTGCTTCCCTTACCCCTGAGGACTGCTGGTCTTCATTGTTTACTCCACTTTAAACAGATGTAATGGCAGAAGCAGCTAGAAACAGGAGCACAGTGGAGCCAGGAATTAGGGAGAAGGGTTGTAGGAATAGTCTTTACTAGTGAACAGTAAAACAGTCCACAATTACTGAGGGGTTATCAGAAGCCAGACCCTGTGCTAAATCCATGAGATGAATTATCTGATATAATCCTTACCCAAAACTCTGTGTGTGACCAATAGTACCATTGGATCCAAGTTACAGACAGGAAAACTAAGGTTTGAAGAATATAAGAGTTTTTCCCTAAGTAACAGAACTATGGAGTCACTCCAGAATATGTCTCATACTTTGTTCTATTTCCCTAGGAAAAACAGGGGAGCCTAAAAAGGGATTTTATATCAATGGTCCTCATACCTACAACACCCATATCACCCTCTCTAGGGAAAAGCCCGATAAGCACAGAAAAAATTTTAGGGAAATGGTATGAAAAGCCTTGATAAAGGAAATGGCAAGTTGACTCAGAGAAATAGTGGATTCGGGATCCCAGCCACTTAGAGATGCCCCCAATCAGGTGAAACAATAAAATCATTGGACAGTAATATCATAAGAACTCTGAGGTTGCTTTCTTCAGTGTTGATTGGTTGGCTGGTTGGTTTTGAGCCACAGAACTCTTGTTCATGAAATCTTGGGCTGAGGACTGGATGTCACACAGAAGCAGAGCTGCTCCAGCTGAAGCTGGGGGTCAGAGAGCAGGAGCAGAGCTCCCTAAGGCACCTCTGCAGGCCAAGCCTACATTCTCTCATCTTATAGATGAGCAAAGGCCTAGAGGGAGAGCTTGATAGGCTAGAGTCACAGAAATGTAATTAATATGGCTGACATTTCCTGTGCTTAAATCACTGTTTGCCAGGTTGTTTTGAGTGTTTCACATGTAGACTTAATCCCTCCACACACACAACTCTATGAAGAATGTATAAATATATCAATAAATCTATAGACAAGGGGACTTAAACAGAGAGGTTAAGTAAATTGCTCAAGGTCAAGTCAAAGAACCACGATCAAACCAGACATTTTGGCCTCCAAGACCAGGTTATTAACCATGGTGATGGTTAACTGCCCAAGTGATGGTAGACCTAGAACCCAGGACCCTGGTTTGCAGACCAGTGATCCTTCATGTTCCCCCACACTCCATTTAATGTTTGCTCCTGCAGGGTACAATGGCAACAGGATTTAAGGAAAGGGTCTGACAAGCTTATAAATCTTAGAAATCTGGAGATGCAACATGTTTTCATAGCTAATGGTTGTGCCTTTTGTGCCATCTGCAGATCTGTCTTGCCTAGCAGTTCTTCTGGGCTCCCTTTCCAAGGAACCACATGGTGCTCCAGGAAGACATGGAATCCTGACAAGGGTTAGGAATGATTCCTCGGCATGGTGCTCTCCTATCTCCCAAGTTCTCCCCGACTCTGCCACTTTCCCCCAAGGCTGCCACATATCCTGATAATTGCCATACTTGAGATGGCAGGACCCCACCTTGGTCCTGCTCTGAAAAAAAGTGAGGAGTCTGCACTAGGGTGTCTAACCACCCTAGTTGCCTGGGACTCTTCTGGTTTTAGCACCGATTGCATCCTGAGAAAGCCCTCGGGCCCAGGCAAAACTAGGATGTTGGGTCACCTGATATCAAGTCTCAGATGACTTGACAATTTCTCAGGGCAACGACTCTCCATGGCTTCAAGTTTACGTACCAAAAAGAAAAAAAGAAAAGAAAGAAAATTACTCTGTAATAGGTAGGAGGCAGGAAATTGCCTGTTTTTGTCTAGTGACAGCAACCCTGATGAAAATAGGGTTGAGTGACTGAGGCCAAATTTATGGCCACTCATGGGCCCCAGAGGCACTCACTGCCTGAGGTTCTTTCCTGACCTAGGGAATCCTGGGAAGAAAAGACGGAAGGGGTTAGTCACACCCTGCCAGTGGCAGCCAAAAGCAGCACTGGCTCCTTACAGAGCTCAAAGTCTCTCCGTCAAGAAAAGTAGAAGTTTCCCAGGGTCCACTCCCTTTTCACAAAGCCGGAATGACAAGCACTGGACTAGGGAAGGAGAGGGGGCCAGAAAGCAAAGTCATCTCGGCCGCTGCAATCTTTGGAAAAGCAGCTCCCCCAACCCAACAGATCCCTGAGTCTTCACTGGACCAATCACCTCAGGGAAGCCACAGGCCAACCCCCTCCCCCACGTCAGGAAACTCACCTGGGCCCCAGGATAGACTCGGCTCCACGGGAATGCAGAAGCAGCCACCCATGTGTGCATCATTCTCCCCAGGCCAAGGCCCCTGGGAACAGCAGCCAGAAGAGCACTGGGAGGGACAGCCTCCCAACGGTGTCCCTCCTCCCGCCTCCTCCCTGGCACACTAGGGACCAAAACCAGGCTCAATGCACAATGCAGCCTTTGACATCAGGCTGCAGCAGGAGGTCCAGGCAGGAGGGGAGGGGCAGCCCAGCCCTCAGGACCCATAGTCCCTACACTGTCAGGCCTCTGACTGGGGAGCAGCACTCCTCCCTGCCTCTCTGCAGATTGCTTCAGGCCTATCAGGCTGTGGCACATTCCTCACATTCTAGGACTGAGATACACAGTTGGGTTCCTGTGGGGGAGGCCAGGGTGGAGGAGAAGGGCAGAGAGCATCCCAGGAATCAAGGCCGCTGTTCTTGTTTCCCCCTGGCTGACTTGGCCCGCACTGACTTGCCTGCCCATGAGAGAGCCATCCCCACCCAGCCTCTCTGTCTGTGAACACCTCCCCTGGGCGCAGCAGCTCACCGGGGCGCCAGCAGCATTGGTGAGCCAGCTCCTCACTGGTGAAAGGGCACAGCCCCAGCCCCTGCTCCTAAAGCCTTGGTCAGAAGGAATCCAGGCAATCACCTGCTGGAGCCCAGCACCTTACTGATGAGAGGATGCAGGACCAAGTCCGGTAAGGTTACAAATTTGCCCAAAAACCTGGTGACACCAGACCAGCCTCTTTTTCACTTTGGACAAGTTGCAGAGCCAGAGAATGCAGTGGACGCAGTACAGAAAACCTCCTGCAACATCTTCCAAAGGAGGCAGGGAAAATATGGTTGAATGTCCACAAGACTGGATGGAGGCCTGACTGATCTAACAGCCAAGTTCAAGGATCACTAATTACTTATTATTTTGTTAGTGCCTAGAGCAAAGTTCAGTGGGGAGTGAGCCAAGGAGGGAGGAGGCACAACCGAAAGGACACAGGAGTCCTATCCACTACTCTGCAGGCTACGTGCAGGCTGGACTGGAGGTCACTCGCACAGCATTTTAAGGAGGGAGGTGAGTTGGCCGTGTTTATATTCTGGGAGGAGCACCGGGGTGACAATATAAAGGATAGCCCAGGGGCCAGTCCCATGGGGGCTGTCACGAGTGTCCACTGCACACACCAGTTCAGACTCAGGTGACAGAGTCTGGCTTCAGTTTCAATGCTGACTCATTTTGACTCCCAGTCACTTAAACGTTTGCCATGGGCCAGGCACTCACTATACGTTACTTCATTTCAATCCCGTAACAGCCCCATAACATAGGTCCTTTCAGCTCTATTCTCTAAGTGAGGAAACTCACGAAGAGGGGCATATAACACATCCGAAGCCCCACTATGTATGAATGTCAGATTCAGGACTGGAGTCAGGTCTAATTGATTCCACAGTTGGGGAGCTTCATTTTTCTGATATACAAGCTCTTTCCATGACTACAGTGAAAAAACAATTAGATGATCTGATAGTGAACCCTCAGAGCTTGCTGACCACTATGGAAGGCCCAGGAGAGGAGGGCTAGGGTGGGGCAGGGAGGGCAGCGGTGGGGCGGGGGGGGTGGGGGTGGACAGGGTCTCTCCAGTCACATGGGGGATTACATGCAGGATGTTTTCTCTGTGCACTTCTGTCTAAAATATTCACTCTCATAATGTCCCATGCCTTTTCCTTCACCGAAGCAGTGTTTTAGAATGTTTTCTTGGACTTAAGATAAAAGAGCAAGAGTTTCTTTAGAAGATAGTCACTCAAAACTTTGGGAGGACATAAGAATCAGATGGTGAAAAGAAACCATGGTTTTGGGACGCCTGGGTGGCTCAGCGGCTAAACATTAGCCTTCAGCCCAGAGCATGATCCTGAGACCTGGGATCGAGTCCCACATCGGGCTTCCTGCATGGAGCCTGCTTCTCCCTCTTCCTCTGCCTATGTCTCTGCCTCTCTAAGTGTCTCTCATGAATAAATAAATAAAATCTTTAAGAAAGAAAGAAAAAGAAAGAAAGAAAGAAAGAAAGAAAGAAAGAAAGAAAGAAAGAAAGAAAGAAAGAAAGAAAGAAAGAAAGAAAGAAGCCATAGTTTAACTTGCACATGATGACAAATGCTCAGACTTATCATTTCTCCTTGACTAACCTGTCCACCATTCTTACGCAGGTACAGCAATAGAGATCAGAAATTGTAAGTGACCAGAACCAACCAAAGGAAGTCCGTCTGTCCCAGGTGACACTCTGAGGCAGTTGGCTCAGACACATTTTGGCAAGTCCACTCTGGATAAAGTCATTGTTTTCTTGAGATGCAAGAAACTAGTGCTATTCTGCATATGGGCTAAGGCGTATGAATATGCCTTAGATGAATTAGCCTGAACAAAGGCTTTCCAGACAGAGAGAGCAGCAGGTGCAAAGGCCCTGAGGCTGGACCATGGCTGGCAAGTGGAAAGAAAAGCATGTGTGGTTGAAGTCCATGAGGCAGAGCAGGGTATAAAGATGAGGTGAGAGAAAGCAGCTAGAGGCTAGATTGCAGAGGACATTGAAGGCCATCTAAGGATTTCAGCTTCTACTATGAGTGAGATGGGAGACATATAGGATGCCAAATAGAGGAGTCTCATGATAGACTTATAGTTTTAAAGGGTCACCCTAACTGCTCCTTGAAAAATAGGCTGGAGGCACCTAGGTGGCTCAGTTGGTTAAGCATCCAACTCTTAATTTCAGCTCAGGCGATGATCTTGGGGTCCTGGGATTGAGCCCCCTGTCGGGCTCCACTCTCAGCAGGGACTCTGTTTGAGGATTCTCCCTCTGTCCCTCCACCAGCTCATGTGTGCTCTCTCTCTAAAATAAATAAATCTTAAAAAAAAAAAAAAGGAAAAGGAAATAGACTATAGCTGGGATTCCATGTATGCAGCAAATGTAACATCCAGGAGAAAGATAATGATGGTCTGTACCAGAGTGACAGCAATAGAGGTAATAAAAGGGGTTTAGGTATTAGATATATTTCTGAATGAAGAGTATATTAATCAAGGCTCTGCAAAGAAGAAGAATCAGTAGGATACAAATATATCTGTGATACAAGGTGGGCACTGCCCCACCTAAGAAGCTCCCACTAGGCTTCAGGAAATGAGAAGTATGATGCCATGTTCTTCTGGGAAGTAGCCAGACGTCCTGATTTGTCATAGGAACCAGACATCAAGATTTTCACATGAAGTTCCCAAATTTTTTAATGGCCACAAACTAGGCTCACTCCAGTAGCACATACACTAAAATTGGAATGACACAGAGATTAACACAGCCCCTGTGCAAGGGAAACATGCAGATTCATGAAGTATCCCATGGTTTTGAGTATTGTATAGAACTGCTGAATCATGGGGCATCTGGGTGGTACAGTCAGTTAAGAATCCAAATCCAACTCTTTCAGCCCAGGTCATGATGTCAGGGTGTGATGAGACTGAGCCCGACTCAGGCTCTGCACTATCAGAGAATCTGCTTAAAATTTCCTCTCCCTCTCCCCCTCCCATGGGGGTGCTCTCTCTCTTTCTCTCTCTCTCTCTCCCCCCCCGCATAAATAAATAAATAAATAAATAAATAAATAAATAAATCTATCTTTAACAACAACAACAAAAGAATTGTTGAATCTTATGTTGTTCACTGGAAACTAATATAATGCTGTGTGTTACTTATACTTTGATAAGAAAAATAAGAATTAAAAAATTAATGCTCAAAGACTAATTCAGAAAATCTTTTTTTTAATATTTTTTTCTCTTTTTATTTATTTATGATAGTCACAGAGAGAGAGAGAGAGGCAGAGACACAGGCAGAGGGAGAAGCAGGCTCCATGCACCGGGAGCCCGATGTGGGATTCGATCCAGGGTCTCCAGGATCGCGCCCTGGGCCAAAGGCAGGCGCCAAACCACTGCGCCACCCAGGGATCCCCAGAAAATCTTTTAAAGCACTGTGTAGGCCAATACTTCAGACCAGACAAACTTACCTTTTTTCATTTTATATTTATTATACAATAGGTTGTGTCGTTAAAATATAAAATGTGACCTGCCTTCTCTGCCACATGCAAACTCTTGAAACTAAACTAAATTTTTAAACTTCCTTTTAGAGGTATTGGTTTGAATTAAGATTTGCTTTTGAAATGCTATAAAAGTATGTATTAAAAATACAGTGTCCAGATTTTTATTTCTGATGAGGAAACTTGAATTTTTTTGTACATTAGCTGTTTATAAAAAGCATCTTAAGAAAACTAATACATTCTAATAGAGAAAAAATAGAAATACAATTTACTTGTATTTCAATTCAGGCCAAATCCAGCCCACAAGCAGCCGGTTGGACCCTTCTGATGTAAAATTGAAAATTGTTTTCTTGGGAAATTCACAGTCTAGTTGGGATAATATATGCACTGAGGAACTATAATTCAAGGGGAAAACTGTAAGACTATGTCATGGGTGGAATTCTCTCCCCTTCAAATATAATATATGGAACACTGAACCCCCAGTACCTCAGACTGTGATTTTATTTGAAAATAGGATTGTTGTAGATATAATTATTTAGTTTGGGTTCATACTGGAATACAGAGGGTCCCTAATCCAATATGACTAATGTTCTTATAAAACAAACACCCTGTGAAGACACAGACCCACAAGCAGAAGCTCCGGCAACAATGAGGGCGTTGAGTTACACATCCACAAGCCAAGGAATGAAGGGGATTGCCAGCAAACCACCAGAAGTCAGGAAGAGTCAAGGGATGATCCTCCCTGAAGGTTTCCAAGGGAGCTTAGCCATGCAGACACCTTGATTTGGGACATCTGGTCACCAAAGCTATGAGACAATATATTTCTATTATTTTAAGTAACCCAGTTTGGGCAGTTCATTAGGATAACCCCAGGAAACTCCATCTGGATATGTTTTTACCTCTCAAAGGTCAGTTTGGGCATTAGATTTGTGGTCAGAAGACCGAAGTTCAAATCCTGGCTCTGCCATTTCCAAGTTGTATGCTGTTTGGCATAGTCTGTCCTTTGCAAGTAACAATGATAATAATAGTCACATAGAGATCACAAAAAATCTCTATCTCATAAAATGATTGTGAGGATTTAAAAAGTGTTTCCAGGTGTTGATTTTTTACTTGTGCAAATCTTGCATGTGTGTGTGTGAGAGAGAGAGATCACTGTTATACCAGTCTTTGGCATATTGTCCATGAGTCCAGACTCTGAGGAAGAAGGGACATCCTTGTTGAGAAGAATGTACCTATCAGCCATGACAGAGACAAAAATCTCAGTTCCAATCAGAAAGCTTAGGAGGAAATACATCTAAGTAAAACTAGGACTGCCTGTCCTCAGATAATCAAGAAGATTCCTTTCATTACTTCAGGCAAAGGCATCCAGCCTAGCCACCCAGCCCCTAGCTGCATTTCTCTCTTTACTTCTTGACTGGCCAACGTTTTCAACAGACACACGTTTTGCAAGCAGTTTACTTAAGAAAGAAAAATAAATACTCATGCTCAACTATTTTCATCACTATTTGGCTTTTGTGATCTAGTAAATTGGTTTCAAGCAAAAAGAAAGGGGTATTCTGGGTGTTTTCACTGATAAATTTCATTGGGTGACCTTGGGAAAGTCAACCATTTCCCCTTAGGTACTTTCCTTATGTAGTCACTCTGTGTCCTCACCCATTCAAGTCTTGTTCCCATGATGACTTTGTTCAAGTTACTCTGAAAGTGGGATCCCCAGATCTCCATTCAACTATCCAGCAGAGCTGTGTATTCTGTACACAGCACGGAGGCACTGTCCCCTCCTTTGTTTTATGTATTGTACTTTTGCTAATGGATTCCAAGTTTACATCAGCCTACAGGAGTCAGAAGATAGTTCACATTCTACCTACTTGGAGAGATTTATCAAAATTCAGATGCCTAAAAAAAAAAAAAAATTCAGATGCCTAGATCTTACCCAGCTCCAATGAAACAGAATCTCTGATTAGACCCACTCCTAGCGATTCCAATGTGCCTCCAGATTTCAGCAAATAATGCCCCAGGGATTTCTTTTACAGAGATGAGGGACAGGGCCAGGTGTACATTTCAGGGGTCTAAATGTCCATAGAGCTCTCCTTTTCTTAATCTTCTGATCTATACTAAAGTTAATTAAAAGCCTTAACCACAAGGGGAGACCACATGCAGGGAATCTGGCTCTCTCAATGAAAAGAATGTGAGGGGACACCTGGGTGGCACAGTTGTTTGGGCCACAGACTCTTGGTTTCAGCTCAGGTTGTGATCTCAATGTCATAGGATCGAGCCCCCAATTGGGCTCCATGCTCAGCATGGAGTCTGCGTGACATTATCTCCCTCCCTCTCCCTTTGACCCTCCTTTCTGTGTTCTCTCTCTCTCTCTCTCTCTCTTTCTCATGAATAAGTAGATCTTGAAGAAGAAGAAGAAGAAGAAGAAGAAGAAGAAGAAGAAGAAGAAGAAGAAGGAAAGAAAGAAAAGAAGAAAGAAAGAAAGAAAGAAAGAAAGAAAGAAAGAAAGAAAGAAAGAAAGAAAAAAGAAAGAAAGAAAGAAAGAAAAAAAGAAAGAAAGGAGAGGGCCCCTCTCATCCTCAAGTTTCAGCATCCACAAATAACAAAAAAAAATGATTTATAATTATTCAAGACTTCCATATTGATGAAATCCTCTATCTTACTATATCCTCACACCTATATCCATAACGTAGGAGCTGGACCCACCATTTTGTAAGCGATGAAAGGGCTGTGTGAGAGAAGTCAGGTGACTTCTCCAGGGTCTTACTGCTAGTAAATGGCAGCAATAGCTTTTCCCAAACATTCCAGCCAGCACCTGCATATACAGTAAGCTTCACCACTTAAGACAGCCAGGAGAATATAAACAGACACACATATACAGCATCCCAACCCCCAACCCCTCCCTCAAGCAACATCTACCTACTAATAAAGATCAGATTATCTTAACCTCCATAGAACCATGTATGTATAGAGGTCAAGCAAATGAGTAAAACAGTTTATCATACATGCACTAATTTAAAAGGTTTCAAAAAAAAAAAGGTTTCAACAAACATGAACATCCAGGGAAAGTAGGAAAGAAGGACAATAGACCAGTCCTTCTCAAACTTTAATATGGATATTAATTATCTGGCATGATACGAAGAATAATGCCCCCCCAAAGATATCCACATCTCCAGAGCCTGTGAATATGTTTATGTTTTCTTACCTGACTAAAAGGACTTTCTTGATAGGATTAAGTGAAGGAATTTGAGAAAGGGACATAGGATGGTCCAGATATAACCGCTAGGGAGGTGGGAAGGTCAGAGTCAGAAGATATGACAAGCAAACTAGAAGCCAGAGGTCAGAATCAGAGAAAGTGATTTGAAAATGCTGCTACAGTGCTGGTTTTAGATGGAAGATGGGACCATAGGCAAGAAATGTAGGAAGGCTCTAAAAGCTGGCCAAGGCACAGAAAGAATTCTCTAGAACTTCCAAGAGGAACACAGCCCTACCAACACCTTGATTTTAGCCCAGTGAGATCCACTTTGGAAATCTGACATCCAGAACTACAAGATAATAAAGTTGTGTTGTTTGAAGTCACTAAGTTTGTCATTTGTTACAGCAGCCATAGGAAACCAATAGACCTGGGAATGGGGAAAATCAGATCCTAATCCCCGGTCTCTGAGGGGGTGAGACGCTCTAGTGGGAGCTTGCAGGTGGTGCCCATATGCTGGCTGTTGGACCACGCTTTGAGAATCGAGGCCATCAGAACTCCCCTGCAGCTGTTCTTTCAGTGTCTGGAGCCTTCAGTTAGTAGGGGATGGGAGCATGATCCCACAGAACCCTCAGTTCCTCACTCTGACTGCCCCAGTGTCTGTGCCACTGCACTGACCTGTAGTCAGTCTTATATTCAGTATCACCTACTCTGAGACGTACCTCCTTTTATTCCTATTTCTGCCCCCGCTTATTCACTTTAGTGATTATAGTCCTAAGTCTGTGTTTATTTACCATCTCCCCCTCACATTTCTGCTGTCCTGTTCCCACCATGAAACACGGTGCCTGAAACAGGCACTCTTACATGAAGGAAGGAAGGAAGGAAGGAAGGAAGGAAGGAAGGAAGGAAGGAAGGAAGGAAGGAAGGAAGGAACTAAAAATTTAAGGAAGCTCTTAGTTCTTGTTTAAATAGATACCTGACCAAATCTCTCACAACTTATATTTGTACAACTGATTTTGTTTTAAGCTACCTAATCCAAAAGTTTCCACTGATCTAAGTTTTCTCAGACTGTCTCTATGTTCTAAGCAGATGAAATCAATCCCTGTTCAAGATTTCTCCCCAAATCTGAAAAGCCTGCTGCAGCAGGTCAGTTCCCAAAAAGCAGACCCTGAGAGGAAGACTTGTAGGCAGCAAGTTTATGGGGTTGTGTTCACAGGATCCCTATGGGGGCGGGGGGGTAGGGGGGGAGGAACAGAACCAGACAGAGGACAGAATGGCCTGCAAATCACTCTTAAGAGAGTCCTCAGCTGGTTCCCACAGGGAGCTCAGGGGTAGGTGGGCCATGCAGAGTCATCCTGGGCCAACAGCATCTGATAACAACCAGCCACTGGACTGGCTACATCCTCATAAGGGCCAGTCATTGAGGGCAGGGTGCCCCAGAAGGGGACACAAACTGGACGTGGCACTCTTCTGTTCTAGGCAAGCCCCAGGGAGGGACTCAGCTGAAAGCGTCGAGCTTGAAAGCTTCCAGCAACTGGAGGAAGGAGTGGGCCAGTCATGATAGGTGGGGATCCAGGCAGACTCCACAACATCTACAACATATCCCTTCTGTTTCCTCAGGCACTGGGGGAAAAGAAACTATTAAATCAAACTAAGCTCAGAATAGAGCTCTGTGTCACACCTATATGAACTAGAGAGGAATAGACAGATGCAGAGAGAAGAACACTGACGTAGAAGAGTCCAGAAGGAGGAGAACTGTATAAACAGAGCCTGTCTTGGAGACAGAGCTCCTCTGAGGTGGGATATATGAAGGCATCGAGAGTACAGAAGGTGTGCATTTGGAGTAGCTCATGGGTGAAGGCCACAATATAACCAAGGAGGAGGAGACAAAAGGAGTCCATGGGGGTAGCATAATAAGAAGCTGATTAGAAAGAAATTGGAGGGTTGCTGGTCCCAGTGAGGGACAGACAGGACTGGCTGTTAAAAGTTTGCAGGGGTCCAGTCATGGGGGTTATGTCTTTCTTCCAGGAGCCTCAAAAGGGAGCAGGGACAGCACACAACAATCCAGAGCTGACAAGGCAGGAGGGTCAAGGGGCACTAGGGCATGAGAATCCAGGGGGCTGGTGAGACAGTTACTGAAATGGGCCACCTCAGAGTCAAGCTAGATGAGGAGACCGGGGACAGAGATATGAGATCAGAGACCATGTCACAAGGTCATAAGGAGACTGTCCAGCAACTTCTGGAGATTTCAAGGAGTGGGAGAGCCAAAAGACAGAGGGAGGCTGCAGAGGGGAATTTCAGAGATCATGTTTATAGTGGAGAGTAAAGGAGAGCACCTGTAGAGCATGGTGAGGAAAGTACTGTCCTGTCGGAAGGTCAGGTATTCTGTTTGAAATGGTGTCAACACAGCTACAGTCATATATGTGTGGAAAAGTTCAGACTGAGGATTGAATAAAAATGTGAGGCCACTTTCAAAACACTTCGCTCCTAACCAAAGCCCAGTCCCCTCCCTAAAGGCAACCACAAGCAATTTGTAGTATCTTTCTGAACTCTGGCTCTGCATCCTAGACACATGTATTGTGATCCCATTTCTGTATGGAAAATTATATATACATTATATATATATTTCCATATAGGATCATATTATGTAAATTATCATATATCTTAATTGGCCCACTGCTTCACTCTCGGCCCGGGACTCAGCCTGCAGTGTGAGAATGACAGTGCTGATTTGGCCTGTTTCACTTGACTTGTGGCTGGAGCTTCAAGTTAAAAAGATGGGAACTCTTGTAGAAAAGAGAAGCTTCATGAGGGCAGCCCAGGCAAGAGCCATGGGTAAAGCTGACCCAGAAAGGGTTCCTCTTTCTCCTTGACAAAATCAAAACAAACAAATGAGTCCCAATGGTTTAGCCATGTGGATTGCTAACATTTTCCTGTTTCTAGATGAGAGTTGTTAGTCTCACTTCCTGAAATCTAAACAAAGTTCAAAACAAACTTATAAACAAAGGGATCCTCTGCTTCCCCAGATCTCAATTCCACTCCCCGAGAGGAATGAGCCAAGATACTACTCCTCTGATGACTTTCCCAGCAGAGCCCCATGGCTTCCTCCTTCCTGGTGGCCACCAATTGTTGTGAACATCCTCGTGGGTGTAGATTTTTATTTCTGTTAACCCCTTTCTTCACACCCTTATAATTATGTAGGGAGTAGATTGTTTTTCCAATGGAAATTATTTGGGGCTTTTAGATGGTCCAAGGTTCAATGATCTCTCCTAAAAGCCTAATCCATCAGCATCCTGCTGAGCAAGGTGAAAAAGATTCTAGGTGGAGATGAAGGGGCTCCACATTCAAGCCTGATGCTGTGTTGGCCTCAGCATGAGGCCAAGAGGCTGAGCAGCTGGTTCAAGGGTGGGGTTCCTCAGCTACCAAATGACTTAAGGGCTTTACAAAGCAGCTGTGAAGAGAAAATTAGAAAGATCCCTGAAAGCATTTTTATTAATTGGGAAACACAGAGAAGTACTGTGTGTGTCTTTAAACTGAGTCCACGGGATCCCTGGGTGGCACAGCAGTTTGGCGCCTGCCTTTGGCCCAGGGCGCAATCCTGGAAACCTGGGATCGAATCCCACATCGGGCTCCTGGTGCATGGAGCATGCTTCTCCCTCTGCCTATGTCTCTGCCTCTCTCTCTCTCTCTGTGACTATCATAAATAAATAAAAAAATAAAAATAAAATAAATAAAAAAATAAATAAAATTTATTAAAAAAAAATAAACTGAGTCCACACAACTGGGGGAAATATTCGGTCAAAGAGAGGGAAATTAATTTCAGCCTGGGATAAAGAGAAAGAATTCAAGACCATGTCACCTTCATGTATGAAGTTATGCTGCTTTGAAAGCCCTTTCATTCAGATTCATTTACAAGCCTGTAAAATGAAGAGGCAGGGTGAAATTCTTATTGCATTTGCAAGAGAAGGGATGGAGATAGAGAAAAGAAGTACTAGAAGCCTGCTCTCTCTCACCAGGGCCCTACCTGAGTACTTCTCTGCAAGGAGATGGAAACCTGGATGCAGGCCAGCCTCATTTAGCATCAATGCAATTGGCCCAGAGGAAGGACCATGCCCCGCAATCCCCATGGCAACAGAGTTCCCCGGCACATTCCCAGGCAGGGAAATGCTGACAAGAACAAATAGTGGAAAGGTCCAGCAAGCCTGCATGAGAAGAAAGAGAGATGAGGGGCTTATCACATGGGTAGGCGTAAGTGAATAATGATAATACTTGTTAACACACACGGACAGCTTCATATGGATGCGTTACACTAGTATTTTTGCGGATTTTCTCACTTGATGCACATAACCACCCACAGGAGCAGGTCCTGTCATTATCTCTATCTAAAGGTGAAGGAGGGACACCTGGGTGGCTCCGCATTTAAGCATCTGCCTTCGGCTCAGCACGTGATCCTGGAGCCCCGGGATCAAGTCCCATAATGGGCTCCCTGCATGGGGCCTGCTTCTCCTTCTGCCTATGTCTCTGGCTCTCCCTCTGTGTCTCTTATGAATAAATAAATAAAACCTTTAAAATAAAAAATAAAGGTGAAGGATTTGAGGGGCTGGGAAGCTGAGTAAATTTCCATAGGTCACACAGCTGGCAAGTGGTAGTATCAGGATTCAGAACCCAGTGGACTGAATCCTGAGCTGGGCTTTTTGACTGGAGCACCACTGAATCTCCCTAATTTTTGCATTTGGTAAAGAATAATGCAATCAACATTTATAGAACACCAGAGTATGCGGAGTGGAAGAAATCCTGAAAATGACCAGAGGATTTCATTCAAAAGATATTGATTAAGCACCAACTATGTGCTCTAATTTAGGTTGGGATGGGGAGAGTGACACAGTGGTAAGGTCAATAGTTAGGGATATTCTTTCATGGAGCTAACATTCCATTGGAGGAGAAAGATAACAAATAAGCAACAAATTAATTAGCAATGGAAGTGGAAGGGGGATAGATAAAGAGACAGAAAATGCCAAGACATAAGATAATAGACTGGAGAAATCCCTAATATCTCCATCAACTTGTCCAGCCACCACCTTTTACACTGAAGAAGACAGATACACTGCTCAAGACTAGACCACATCAAGACCAATAAACCCATCACTGGAAGCAATGTTGGGTTTATTTTCTTATCATTGTCTAGCCCATAGACCTCAGCACTCAGGGAAGGTAAACCAGCACTCAAGCATCCCCTGTTGGCTCCAAGACACAAAGGACGGACCCTTCCATCCCTGTATCAAATCCCAAGACTCAGGAACAAGCCCAGGCAGAGAGGAGTCAGTATGTGTCCAGCAGATGGCAGCAGTAGGCTGCCAGGCCCCCAGAGCCCCCCACTCACCTCTCCTAACCACCCCGTGAGCCCATATCATGGATGTCAATCTCTCATATTTCATTTTGCTCCTCTTGGAATTCAAGACTGTAGACGAAGACGAGGATACATGAACCAGTCGCAGGAGCCCAGGCAGGGGCTTCTGGCTCCTAATTCTGGCCACAAGGTGAATCCTGGGGTATATCACTGCTCCCTGAGCTTGGCCTGGCCTGGTCTGGCCTGGACAGACAGCCCTGTGGAGACCAGTGCCCCACCTCTCTGCGGTCCACACCATCTTCAGGCTCCCGAGCTGAGCCATGGACATAGTCAGAGGTGCACACACAAGCAGGCCCTACAAGCCCTGCTTCTACCCTGCATTTGGGATGTCCTTGTCCCATCCTCCTCCCCATTACCTCTTTCTCCTCCCTGCTCTCACTGTGCCTGTTAGTCCACTCACCTTTAAGGTCAGTGTTCACAGCCCAGACTGAAAGGGGACAGCAGAGGCACAGAGAGCACCTGAGGATACAGAACTGGCAGGGACTGCTTTCTCACTGCCCAGGTGATGAGTGAGGTTGGAAGATCTGAAGATTTAAAGGCAGTTGGGGCAACAACAACAACAAAAGTGAAAAGAAAAGCATTCAAGTTGGAAAGGAAGAATTAAAACTATCTCTACTCTCAGGTGATATGATCTTATATGTAGAAAATCATAAGGAATCCAATTTTTAAAAACCATTAGGACTAATATTATAGCAAGGTTGCAAGATAGAAGAACAGTATACAAAAATCAATTTTTGGAAGGGTGCCTAGGTGGCTCAGTCAACTATGTGTCTGACTCTTCAACTTAGCTCAGGTCTTTATCTCACAGCTGTGAGCAGTCTGGTAAGTATAGTCATGAGTGTGAGCCCTCGTTGGGCAGGGAGCCTACTTTTAAAAAAATCAATTTTTTTCTCTGCATTAGCAATGAACAATCCAAAAATTAATTTAAGAAAACAATTCCAGGGCAGCCCGGGTGGCTCAGCGGTTTAGTGCTGCCTTCAGCCCAGGGCATGATCCTGGGGTCCCCGGATCGAGTCCCACGTCAGGCTCCCCGCATGGAGCCTGCTTCTCCCTCTGCTTGTGTCTCTGCCCCTCTCTCTCTGTGTGTGTGTGTGTGTGTGTGTGTGTGTCTCATTAATAAATAAAAACAAAATCTTTTAAAAAAAAGAAAGAAAAAGAAAACAATTCCATTTACAATAGTATCAAAAATAATAAAGTATTTAGAAATATATTTAACAAAAGAAGTCAAAACATACTCTGGGAGCTACAAACATCATTGAAAGAAATTAAAGATCTCGATGAAGGAAAAACATCTCATGTTCATGAATTTGGAAGACTTAATATTGTTAAGGTGGTGAGACTGCCCAAATTAATCTACATATTCAAAGTAATCTCTACAAATCCTAGCAGTTTCTTTTCTAGAAATTGACAAGCAGACACTAAAATTCATACGAAGACTTAGAAACCCAGAATAGCCAGAACAGTCTTGAAAACAAAGGATAAAGTTCTCAATTTTACACTTCTTGATTTCAAAAGTTACTGTAAAACAATGGTAATCAAGACAGTTGGTACTGATATAAGGATAGATCATTGTAATAGAATCGAGAGTCCAGAAATAATCCCATGTCAATTAATTTTCCACAAAGCTACTGAATCAATGGAGGGAAAAATAGTCTTTCAACCAATGGTGCTAGGAGAATTGCATGGCCACATGCAAAAGAATGAAGCTGGAGCCTTCCCTCGCACATACCTTTAACTACCTTTAACTAACATACCTTTAACTAATGAGACTGATTCATTTTGATAATGAGGCAGCTGTTGGTCTTCAGAAGAGAGTGTCAAATTTTGGCCCTCAAAAGGACTGGGAAAAAAGCCCACACTTTCCCTGCTACCCCATCTTATGCATGATATATATAACATCCCACAACTGGCTCTGACCACCCCCTCTCAAGTATTAGAATGTCAACCTTGCTACTGAGACTGTGCTGTGAGCTCCAGGGTAACCTAAGGTGGTCACTAACCTGCCTGGCTGAGCCAAAGTAATCTCAGCCTTCTTTTACTGAGGGACTCCTCAACCACATGGTATCCACAAACGTCAGTAGAGGTAAAAGGTTGGGGAAGCCTGGCTTACTATTCTGAATGCTGCTTCCACTAAATATAAGACAACCTGGTCTATGTAACCCTGGATTTTTTATACCAATTATACCAATCAACTATTATCCACATCATCAACTCAATTATGACTATAGCTACAACTTCATGGATAGGATTGGAACAACTCCTTTAACAGTTAAAAAGATTCTATTGCTCTGGATGAGCTTGGGCCTTCAGAAGATACTAGAACATACAATCAACTGGTGGCAGATGTTATATCAATATGAACAACCTATAGGCAAGCAGGCCCACTCCAATCTCCTGTCACTTTCCTAAGCCTAAAAAGAACATCTCACCTCATCACTGAAGATGGTAGGTAATATTCCTGCACCTGAATTAAGGTCCGAGGAGGATAACGAGAAGAGGGGAGTCGGGACAAGGCCTCAGACCTATGATTTTTCCCACTTCACACTGAGAAGTGAAAGAAGACCATCAATACTCATTCTTCATGGCTGAATCCTGACCCATCATCTCATTGATTCTTAATATAATCACGCTCGTAAGTAAGTAGTGCTGTCACCAGCTCATCACTGTGGACCTGGACTGAACAGTGCCAAGCAGGCTGAAGTAAGAATGAAAATGCCCCTTCCAATAGCACTTTCTCTTAGAAGACAGCAAAGCCCTTTCTTAACCCTACCCTTTTTGAGACTACATGGTCCCCACTATCATAGGAAATGTAGAAGAGGTTACCATAAATGTAAAGGTTAGAGAAGATCCATTAGATAAAATTTCTTTAAAGTTAGGCAATTTCAGCAAAAAGTCTAGGGACAGGTGACACAACGTTGACAAACCATGAAGCAAGGCTGACTCAAGTCAGAAGGCAGCTTATACAACAGTTACAACAAGTTCATTGTGAATCATTATGAAAAGAAAAGAATTGCTATGGAATGGGAAGTGGGGTTGAAGGAATGTCAGGGGGCTGGAAGAAAATTATCATAAACAATAGAGATCTTTATGCCTGTTCTGCTAGGCACAAGCCAAACTTGGCTAAAACTAACCTTGCTAGCCAAGCTTGGCTCAAATTAACTTTCTTGCTGGTAGAATTAGCATAGAAGTAAAGAATTTTCAAACTAAAAGATCTTTAAGAAAAGACCCAGTTTAGATTGTATCTTACGTATCTTTTAGGACCTTTTCTACATCTGAAAAGACTTTTTTTTAGTTCAGAATCATTTTTTAGAAGAAATATAATGACAATAATTAACAACAGTAAATAACAACAAAGATCATGCTTATTTTGAACCAGGCACTGCCTGAGTGCTTTGTCATTTGTCATTTGTATATGTCATTTGTCCTCACAATAGTCCAGTGAGGCAGCACTATTATTGTTCTCTTTTTACAAATGAAGAAACTGAGGTACACAAGGATGAAGTACTTGCCAGCTAGGCTGCTGTAGAGAAAGACACAAGAGGAGCTTCCCTGTTTATTTTTTTATTTTTTGAAGATTTTATTTATTTATTCACGAGAGACACAGAGAGAGAGAGAGAGAGAGAGAGAGAGAGAGGCAGAGACACAGACAGAGGGAGAAGCAGGCTCCATGCAGGAAGCCCAATGTGGTACTC